TCTTGGGAACGATAGCCAATCAGTTATTTTAATTGTCATTTTAATTCAGCACATCAAAATCCATAGCAAAAACAGCACATTTAATCTCTGAAGCAGACGTCTAAAAAATTATAGGCCAGTGTTTTTATTGTGGTTAATATGGTGCGTTATTATGCAACATTATTTGGCTATTAGTCATATTGTAGCAGCTCGCGAGAGCGGCTCACTGCACGAGGAATCTGGCGGCATTGAGTTTGGTTACTGACCACGGCTAACGTAAGTGGTGCCCGATAACCGGACCGATCCTGAGCTCCCGCTTCACCCGTCGGCACTGTCCAGCGTGGTGAAGTCTGGTCAAATAACCCCCCACGACCGACGCACATGGGGGGAGGTCTTCATCCAGGAGTGGATTGACAAAGGGCTCTGGATTATTTCATTACACAAGTTTGTACGTATGTTAAACTTTTTTCTCACCGTACGTAGCCAACCGTGCTAATCGGAGGTGCGGAGTTCAGTTGTGTTACACATGCTGGCATACGTCTATGCACTTGCAAGCACATTAAATGTGTATTGTTACGAATGTGATTATGTTGATCGGTATTTTGGTTGGTAGGTGGGTGGGTAGGTTGGTAGGCAGATGAGTAGGTAATTAGGTATTTTGAACAGATGGGAAGGCAGGTGCTTGGGGGTATGCATGTGGGTGATTTAATAGCTATATCATGAGAGGCACCACTGTTTTACATGGGAGAGCCTTAAATCATTGGACAGAAATGATTTAAACTGATATTTCTGAAAAAGGTAGTTTAATGAGCAAACATGTTGTTTAAAAACTATTACACAGTGTCGGTTAAAAAATAAGAGTAAAAAATGTAAAACAATCACACTTTTGCATCACCAGCTCTAAATTGTAATACAATAAATTAATTAAAATAACATATTAAAGTGCGTGACTGCAGATACTGCCCGCCATTCGTCGCTTCTGAAGCACGCGGACGAACAGACGAGGGATGAGCGCTGTGAAATTCCATTGAGTTGGCGGAGAGGAAGTGCAGTTGTGGTAATACTATTCCACGTGACTAGAGTCGAGAGCAGAGGTTGGTGCGAGATGCCCTTTCTGAAGGTGCGAGACATGGGCAGATTTTTTTTTAAGGTAAACCATCGAAACACAAATTAAGAACGGGCACGTCAGTACAACTACTTTGTTTCATCAAACCTATGTATTTAATTACACGATACATTTTTTTAATGCAGTAAAGGTTAAGAACCGCTGGTCTACAGTCACGGTGGCGAGATGTTAACTACCTCACCTGGTATACAGGAGGTTGTGGGTTTGTTTCCGACCCTGACGCCTGCTGTCTATTTGGAGTTTGCATGTTCTCTCCGCGGTCACATGGATTTTTGTCCAGGCCCTCCGTTTTTCCTCTCCACATTTAGAAGCGCGTGTTTAGAGTATTTGGCTGCTATAAATTTCCACACGATACACCACTTCGTTGAGCTATCATTTGTGGCCAGGTCGCTTCTGAAAAAGAGCTATCTCGCTTCGTAGGCCTTACCTGGTAAAATAAAAAAATAGTTGTAGTTGAGTTTTTACATTCTAACTATTTATAATCACGCTGTCATTGCAATAGCAATGCCCCAGTTGAGTTTTAATTCTCTCTTTCAGGAGGTTCCTGCATTGGGATGTTTGTCCAATTGCATTAATGATCGTGTAGCACATATCTCTGAGCTTACTTGTATCGTCACGCCCATGTGTCGCGATGCGGTGGGTATTTGTCAGGCATGTAATGATTTTGTCTCGTTTGTACAGATTTGTTCACGCCGTGAGCATAAACGTAACAACGTATCATTTGTATAATTCCTAAGCAATCGATTCTCACGCTCGCACACACACACACACGAGTGTCACGTGTACGGAGTCAAATCACGTGTACAGAGAGCGCACGAACCGATTTTAATTGACGAATGAATGAATTGTCAACACAAGGAGTCGTTATGCCATCCCCCCCACCCCACCTCCCGATGTGGGTATCGGTGACCTTGTGTTGTGGCCTTTGCCCTTCTGTGGGCCCTGCGTTGACGCATTCCCCCGGCGCCCTGACGCAACCTCGCGCGCAAACACCTGCGAGAGGAAATCGACGGCGACTTAGCGTGGTGGGGGAGGCAGCCGCTCGCCCATGCGAGTCCGCGGTCGGCTTAGCACGGCCGGCCACCGTCACCGCCGTGAATCGGGCACGTAATTAAGAGCCAAGCTGATTGCATGAGTTGGCCTGGTGGCTCAGGGGGGTTATCGCCCGTGGCCCGTGTCAGAGCAGCACTGAGCCAGCACCATGGAGAACCTCCAATCCCCGGCTCCCGCCCCGAGATTATAAAAGAGGCTTCTCGAGTGCGGCGAGCTTGACGGCCCTCAGCTGCTCACCGGTGACTGCACAACGCCGCCATCACAGTAATACAACAACAACTGAAGATGGAGCTTTTTGCCCTTAATTCGGCAGGGAACGACCCTAGAGGCTTATTTATCCGGCAGGCAAGAGGGGAGAGCCACTCGCGCGTATCTGTAATCGCTTCAGAGGGGGCAATCCTAGAGTTCATATGTTGATGAGTGAGGTCCCTTAAAGGATAGCTGGCGAAGAAGTGCGAAATCACTGCCAAGGTCGTTGCGTACACTTCCACCACGTGTGCATTGGCTGTGTTAAACTACAGCTGTACTGAATGGTCAAGTCCATTGCTGCGTGCCTGCAATGGCAACGTTGGTGAAGAGCCTAAACACGTAAGAATCGGTTTTCCCCTTTTTTTTCCTGGCAACAAAAACAGCTCTGTTAAGATGTTAAAACACCAAACTGAAACCTTTTACAAGGACTCGCGTCTGCATTAACCACAATACTTGTGTGGTCAGAATGCAAACAAAAAAAACATGCTCTGATAATATATGTGGCATTGTCTTTGAAACTGATTGGTCCACACCAGAGACAGCTTTCTTTTGAGCCTCGTCTCAAACGGTGCCAGACACAGTTTATTATTATTATTAATTCAAGCTGTGAGTTAGACGGGGACACAGCACCGAGACATTTACCGCTCGCGAGTGCACCTCGCACAGACTCCCAAGGAGCTCGGCGTTAATTACGTTCATTACGTTAATTTGATCGTCGATTAAAGAACGACGCACGGTTTCACCCCCCCTCCCTCCTCGTCCCCAACCTCAATGTGGACGTCGGCTCGCAGGGGCAGCGCGCTCGCCCCGAAAAAGCCCTTCCACGTTGCGCAGAAAATGATGGGCAGTCGGTGGACCGGGTTGCCATGCCGATGACCCTTGAACTTGTACAGGATCACCCCCTGTGACCCTGCCCGTGGCCCCACCCCGCGGTGAGTACTGAGGGGGGCGGGGTGGGGGGCACGGTGCAGCTTCAGTGGCGGCGGCGGCGGCAGCGGTGGTGGCGCCGTTGCCTGGCAACGGCCTTGGGAGAGCGGCGCTTCAGCCAACGGACGACCGCGCGAACGCCGCAGCCACCCCTGGCGCTGTGTGGGCGGGGCGAGTGTTGGCGAGCACGCGCGCGCGTGCCCGTGAACGTGCGCGTGCCCGTGAACGTGTGTGGGTCCGTGAACGTATTTGGGTCCGTGAACTTATTTGAGTCCGTGAACGTGCGTGGGTCCGTGAACATGCCCGTGAACGTGTGTGGGTCCGTGAACGTGTGTGGGTCCGTGAACGTGTGTGGGTCCGTGAACGTGAACGTGCCCGTGAACGTGAACATGCCCGTGAACGTGCGTGGGTCCGTCTTGTGAGTTGCGGGCGCAGCGATTAGCGCGCGCTTGGCTGCGGTGGCCGATGACCCGAGTTCAATTCCCGCTCACGGCCCCCGCTCACGGCCAACATCAGTGACAAATATCTGAACCGCTCCTGGGCCTCCCCTAGGTAGACTTGGCCTCAAATGAGTACCTAGGGCAGTGTGTAAACATCGCCATTGGGGAGACAAATGCGGTCGGACGTGATGCTTGGCCACCCCACCCCCTGTTGTGCCATGCCAACCTTCATAGGTGCTCGTTACGAGCACTTGCCGCAACAGTTTGTTAAGGCTACAAGGGGGCTCTTTGTACTTGTGTGCACTCTATTGGCACAGTAGGGAGCACAAGAGGGTGCATCTGCCAGTCATCTTAGTCAACTCATAACACCTGGGTCGGCCCTCTGACCCTCTGCCAGCAGTGAGCCGTCGACACTTCACGTGGCCTCAAGGTGCACTTAGCCTGGCACAAGCACCGTGTGTGACGTCACCACTACTTCGTGGTGAAGAGCGGTTGTTGCGTGCATGTGTGGTGAGCGGTAGTGTAGCGGTTAGCGCACTGATAAACCGGGCCTCCCTTAGGTTGACTCAGCCTTAAATGAGTTCCTTGTGTGTGTAAATGACAATTTTTTTAGACGCCCCCCTCAGATGCCCTGGTGGCTTTAAAAGATGCTCGCGAGCAGCACTTGCTCCAACAGTGGCATAGAGGGCTATATAGAGGGCTATATAGATGACCTTTGTTTTTGTTGTGTGCATGTGAGAGTGTGTACGTATGTATGTATGTACGTATGCGAGTGTGCGAGAGTGATGTGTGTTCGGTTAGTATAATGGTGGTCGCCGACGCACTGCGACTCTATACAGATGAACAACATCCTGTAACGGGCACCCACAAAACTTTTATCCATATATTAATTTAAAAAGTGCGGGGCGGTAGGGGAGGGGGGAACCGCTCCGTACTGCACCATATGACTCCCCCCCCCCCCACCATTTCCTTAGTGTTTTCGTTTTCTCTGGACCGGGTGCCCAGAGTTCAGTGTAGCTTCTGCACATAGGCTAAGGCCTTCAGTCATTTTGCGAGCTGAGTTTAGGTGAGTAAAGTTAGATTCGGTGACGACCCCAGCCGCGGAGCTGAGGGAGCACACAGCGGGCGCGGCCGGAGCGAGTCCAGGGCACGGCCGTGCGCGTAACAAGAGTGCCGGGTGTCTCTAAAGGCCTCCACCGCCTGGGGCATGGACGTGCAATGGCAGAATGCGTCTGATGCAAATGGCCCTTGTCTGCTTGAGAGATGGGTCAGAGCGCTCGTGGAAAGCTGAAAATTTGGCGCCCACAAAGCCACGGAGAAATTACAAGACGACGCTGACGGTGGCGACGGGGGACGGTGGCGTCGGTCAGAGCCACGGAGCTCCGAAGTACGAGCAGAGAACCTCTGTGAGTGCGGCCGCTCGAAAGGAGCGGTCCGAGGCCGGCACTCGGGGGCCACTCGACAGAAAGCGACCTGTGGTGGTGAGAACCACGGTCAGAGGAGGGCCCACAGTCCCTCGCCTGAGGAGTCTGAGGGCCCAGGGAGAGTGCGAGGAAGGAGATGAATGGGAAGAAGAAGAGTAGGAGGGCCAATTCTCAAGAGTGCAGAAGAAGCCTCAGAGAGCGCTAGTGAAAGACATGAAGGCTGTTATCTACCAGTGTTGGTGAGGGGGGGGGAGAGAAGATCCTAAACCTCCTTGTTAGAAGGGGTCAAAGAGTCTAACCCCTGAGGTGGCCTGCAACACCTTGGGATCTCCCTAGGCACAGGTCCAGTTGGAGATTCTTCAAGAGTCGGCCGGCTGCGAGCGGAGGCCAAAAGGCCGATCGAGGGGGCAGGAGCCACAGCAAGGGTCTGCTCGTGGGTGACCTTGGGACACATGGCGGCGGCATTGTAGATGATTGGGCCAGGCTCCGGATGCGGGCGCTGCAGCGGTGCCTCTTGCAACAAATGTGACTCGGGAGGAGAGCTTGTGGCAGTATTTGCCCCGATCGTCACAGGCGGCGAGAAAGGACCTGCCAATGCCCCGAGGTTAGGAAAGAGAAACCCGATAGGATTTTTTCCAAAGAAGCTCGTGATGTTAGAGACTGACGCCAGCTTGGCAGGCTGGGGGGGGGGGGGGCTGCTGCCAGAGGGGAGAGCTTTGCAGGGTCAGTGGTCGAGCGCGCAGAACAGTGAGAGGGCGTCTTGTTTCTGAGAGCTCGGAGCGATTCGCCGAGACCTGGCGTGTAGCTCATGGAGGTGTAGCAGGAAACGGGGTCTTTGTCAGATGCGGCAACGTTGACAGAATCAATATTTATACTGGAGGAATCCGATGAGCTCTAAAGCTTTTTTTTCACAGATGTCCAGTAGGGGTAGGGGCGGGTAAGAACGTTACAACAACAAACAACAAGAAAGGGTCCCCTAGATTTGGCTGCTAGCGACAGACATTTGTGTGTGTGTGAGCTTGTGTTTGTGTGCCTTTTTGTTCTAGTCCGTGTGTATTACCACGCGTGCTTAAGTGTGTGTGTGCTGGCGATAGATGTTATCCTATTATCAGATTAAACTTCGGCAGTTCCATACCCATCCATGCTCTGGGTGTAGCCCAAGAATTATGCTCCCAGCCACCGCCGCTATTGCCCCTTTTCAATGAAGAGTGATGCATACGGAGCCGAGCGTTGGCATAGCCCATTCATTCCGGTGCTGCGGCAAATACATTAACTCCTCAAGTTATTGCTCAGGGAATCGGCACAGTACCACATGGTCCAGGCAGTCCCAAGTGATCCTGGAGTTGCAGCCAGGGCAATGATGCTGCTGTTACATTAGCATCTCTTTGGGCATAGAGAGAGACCCCCAGTTGCCTGGAGGCGACGCCGTCGCGAGCGAGCTAGTCGCCGGACGCGAGTGCTGGCAACGTCGTTCGGCACCAGTGCCGCTGCGTGTGGGTGTGCGCCTGCGTGTGAGCCTGTGTGCGTGCGTGTGAACCTGTGCGCGCGTGCGCGTGCGTGCTTGCGGCTGCTTGAGTGCTGAGTGTCGCTGCTGCTGCGGGCAATATACGGCAATAAACTCCCAGCGACGCACATCAAGTGGCAAGTTGGGGGTTTCACCTGGTCTGAGGGAACCGCCTACCCTAGGTCAAGTCGGCTGACGGTGAGCACCTGGTGAGGTATGGTGAGGTGTGCGGGCAGGTAGCGCGAGCTGTAGGGAGGAGGGAAAGCCAGTTGGGCCTCGCACCTCCTGCATCTTCTTCGGTGGGGTGTGGAGAAGGTCGGCGAGTCGTGCAGGAGGACTGCGCTGACTTAAAAGAAAAACAAATACGTGGACACCGATTCGTTTCCTGGTTTGTATCACGTTGAGCCGAGTAATCTCACGTGAATGTTTTTTGGCCGTTTTTCTTTTAAATTTAAACTGTTTTAATAGTTTGTTCAGACTTTTTTTTATGATGCTGTAAATGCATAATAATAATGTACCACCAACTCATTATGAATACCCCAAACCCATCAGATCTCAGAAGCCAAGCGCATGCGAGCCTGGTTTGGTACTTGGGTGGGAGAGTGACTGGGAATACACCAGGTGTTGTAGCCTTGGGCTGCGAGGCAGCCTTACACAACAAATGGGGTCTTTAATCAATCGACGTGGAGGTTTTAAGTGTCGCATCCCTCCTTCGTACAATTGGGGTTTCTCCGGATTCTCTCCCGTTTCCTACCACGTGCCGAGCACTCATTAATGGAATTGTCTGAACCATCCCAGAAACGTTTTGGGTCTCGGTGACTCTTTTTTTCTGGACAAGTAAATGGACGTTGCACACGTCCGCGTTGGTATACGTGCATCGGCACACAAAAAGGGGGGGGGGGGAGGCTATGGGGGTGTGGGTGTCAATTGCCCATCCCGTGCTCGTGTCGGCTTCATGACAGTGAAGTCGCATGCCTTTGCAGATAAGCGTTGACAAGACGCATCGGGTCATTTTTTTTGTACTCGCATACCACAGAGAGCCTGGTGCAGGGTTAACCAGTTGTAGCAGAATGGGGAACGGGGCAGTGTTGTCATAACAGCCTCGTATGTGGAGAGAGACTCTTCTTGTATCTTGAAAGATTAAGCTGAACTTAGCGAACGTTTACAATAGGCGCAGATATTGTGGCCGTTGCCTTGTTTGTATCATTACGCGTCCATTCGGCAGACGTGCTTTCTTCGAATGTTCTCTGAGATGGCCTCAAGGCTTTCAGAGTGAGTGGTGTGAGTGTGTACATTTTAAGTTTTTATCGTTTCTTGGAAATTGGGGGGGGGGGGGAGTACATACGTTTAACTTATTTCGCACCGTACATTGACAACCGTGCTAATCGGAGGTGCGGGTGGCTTTCTGTCGGAAGAGAAAACGAGATGTCTGCGGTTGACGTCGGAAAGTGGGGAAGGGGAAACGTAAAGATGTGAACCGCATTTTTTTTTGTCGTCGGACGAGCGAGGCTGGACCTGGCCATGGGCAGAGTTCCAAATGTCGCACCTCTCGCAAATCGTGCCCTTCCCCCCCTCTTCCCCCTTTGGTCCATGTTTACAAACCGTCTCCACTCGGGTGCGAATCGGACAAAGCCTGTCGATTAGCTGACACCAGAATATATAGTGTCGGCAATGGCGGACAGGGTGGGGGGGGGGGCGCGCTGGGAGATGCGAGGGCAGCTGGACACTGTTGTTCTCGTGCCCGTGTCGGTGCCACCGGTGGCACCATGGCAACCTCGCACTAACACGTGCGCGGGTGTTTTCGCGCGCGAGTCACGCGTAGCGGTGCGTTGCTTCGGCGACTTGTGGTGAAAACACGAATGGGCGTGGGGTTGCCTGCGCGCGTTCGCAAAAGCAAAACAATTCTCCCCGTCCACGGTCAGTCTCTCAGAAACCACGATTCCCAGAAGCAACGGCGACCCACCGCTGCGCCTTCAACGTGTGTCCCGTGGCGTTTGTGTATCTTACGGTTGTTGTGGTTGAGCTGTGATTTGTCTGGCCCCACACCTTGCCGATATAAGACTTAGTTGCTGTTAAGGACGATCCACGGGATAATGGATTGTAAATGTTAATATTTTGTTGCGTTCTCTTTCCTAAAATTCAGATAGCGATGACAACGTTGATATTGGATGACTACGGCGGAATTCGTAGAGAGTTTGCATTCATGCCGGCGTCTCGACTAAAAAAATAAAAAAGCCATCCAGCGATAATAAATAGCAAAGGGTCTGTTTTGCCAAGTATAAATAAAATAACTTTTAAAGAGCTCATCCAGCTGTGGACCACAGGGACCTGTTTTTTCCAGCAAAACTTAAGCGGCAAAGCTCGGAGTGAAGTCGCATGAGCAGGGTACGGGCAGTCAAACAAAATGCTGCTCGGTTGCCTGCGCCCATGGGCCAGGTTTGCGTGCGCGTTGTGTGGGCCCCATCCTGAAGTGCCGCTCTCTCCGGGTCGTCTTCCGCAGCCGGGAAGTTCCGCGCGTCGGGGAGCTGCAGCGCGTCGGGGAGCTGCACACCCTGGGCTCCGGCGTCGGAGAATATTTCCCATCGCGTGTGGCTCCGGACGACGCGGGGCTCGACCTGCGCGGCGGTGGCAGCGGCGGCGCCGGCGGCGGTGGCGGCGTCTCGTCGAGCGAGCGGAGCCAGCTCGTGGGCCTCGACCTCTCCAAGAAGAGTCCAATTCGCGACTCACGCGCGTCCTGCGGCGGTGGCGGCGGTGCGGAGCACGCGGACCGACTGCACTCGCCGACGCCCGCCCCCTCCGGTGCCGACGGCTACGAGGGCCGCGGCTCGGGACTAGGCGAGGCGGAGGCCTGCCTGGGCCTCATCCGACGGACGGCGCCGTCCCCGCTCGGCGGTGGCGGTGGCGGTGGCGGCGGCGGCGGCGGCGGCGGTGGCGGCAACGGAGGCGGCGGAAGTAAGCTGCCCGTCTCCAGCGGCGCCGCAGACGGCCTGCCGCTGCCTCTCAACACGAGCTGGCTCAAGCAGGAGCCGGCCGAGCGGCCGTGCGACCGGAAGGATCAGGTGAGCGCCTGGGGCGGAACTCGCGACGAGGTTAAGAAAAGAATATCGGCAGCGTTTCCTGGGGCAGGGACACGGGTGCATTTTGTGTACACGTATGCTCTTTTGCTCACAGCTCCAGGCCAGCGGTCAGATTTAATCTTTGTTTACCCATAATTTTCACTCGGAGAAAATATTACGTACATCCTGGACCTTCTCTGTCAAATTCCATTGTGTCCTGTCTCTCTCCCCTCCCCCAGACCCTGCCCCTTCTGCAAAAACATAGGCTTGTGAATTAAATGTTTCGTCCTACATTAATGTCGGGCCCCCACATCTCCTATGTGGCCAGCTCACTCTCCCCGGCGATGGTGTCCAGCCCTCTGCACGAACACTGGGTGTGCGCGTAGATTTGCATGCGCATTTCTGGATGATGAATATCCAAACTAGCCCTGGGCCTCCCCTAAGTCGACTGAGCCTTAAATGAGTACCTGGTTGCGTGTGTAAATATAAGCATTGGGGAGACAAAGGGAGCTGGGTGTGGTGCTGGTCAACCTCTCTTTTTGTGTGCCCTAACCGGCCTTAATAGGTTCGCGCTAACCGCACTTGTCACGACAGTCTGTTGAAGGCTATATAGGGGATCTTTAGCTTTGTATTTGTGTGTACGTGCGTGTGTGTAAATACGCTTGCACGCAATGCCGCTTCTCACACAGGACCTGCACCACGGGCCATCAGCTCAGGGCGACCACAAGACCCCTCCGAACTCTTGGGCCGGGGCGTCCGGCGATGACGACGAGGTGCCCGTGCCGCCGAGCAACGGCGTCGTCGTCTATTCGGGAAGCTCAAAGTCCGACGGCGGTGGAGGCGGCGGCGGCGGCGGCGGCGGCGGCACGGGGCTCTACCAGACGACACGCTCGCTCCTCGGTGTCGCCGCCATGGAGGAGGACGACGACGACGATAACCGCAGCCTGAACGACGAGAGCGGGATGAGCGACACGGGCAGCGGCGGCTCGGAGCCCGGGCTCGAGCGCTACGCCCACTGCAACCACCACCACCGGCACGCGGCCGCCTACGGCGAGCCCGACGCCTTCGGCGGCGACAACCTCTACGTGTGCATCCCCTGCGGCAAGGGCTTCCCCAGCTCGGAGCAGCTGAACGCCCACGTCGACACGCACACCGAGGAGGAGCTCTACCAGCGCGAGGCCGGCGGCGGAGGAGGCGGCGGCGGCTGCGGCGACGACGACGACGACGGCAGCAGCGGCTGCGCGGGAGGCGGCAGGGGCGGCGGCGGGGGCGGCCCTCCCTCGGCGTGCGGGGGAGGCGGCGGCGGGGGGCCCGGCGGTCTCGACGCGGGCTGCGCCGACGACTCGGCAGAGGCGCGGCCGTACCGCTGCATGGCGTGCGACCGCGCCTACAAGGACGCGGCGACACTGCGGCAGCACGAGAAGACGCACTGGCTCACGCGGCCGTACCCCTGCGCCATCTGTGGCAAGAAGTTCACGCAGCGCGGCACCATGACGCGCCACATGCGCAGCCACCTGGGCCTCAAGCCATTCGCGTGCGAGGAGTGCGGCATGCGCTTCACGCGCCAGTACCGCCTCACGGAGCACATGCGCATCCACTCGGGCGAGAAGCCCTACGAGTGTCAGCTCTGCGGTGGGAAGTTCGCGCAGCAGCGCAACCTCATCAGCCACATGAAGATGCACAGCGCCGGGCAGGCCATGTGAGGCCCCCCCCCCCCGCTCCCTCCCTTTCTGGACCCCCTTTCCCTCCGGCGCAATGGGCTGTGGTCGCCGGCGCGTGGAGGTGAGCGAGCTAGCCGGTGAGCCTGGCGCGTTGGCATCGGGCCGAGTGTGTGAGCTGGCGAGCGGGCATCCGCAGTTTGTAGGGTTCTCGATTAACCGTCCGTTTGTCATCGGTGTTGCCGCTGGAACAGATTTAACCTCGTGACACTGCGTCAGTAGCACCTATAACCTGATTTTAAGAAATCCATGGACCAAAATTTACGATGGTTTTTATATGCGTTATTTTTTTTTTATATGAGTGTACGTCCCTTTTAAAATGTTAAAGGTGATCATTTTACAGGTGTTGGGCTGTCATAAGTGGGCTTGGTGCATTTTCGTTTTACGAAAACGGTTAATTAATTTTAGTGATGTCTATTTGTCTAAAAGATCGCTCTGAGCGAACGGCTCGCATATCGGGAGATGTCATTGAGGCTTGAGGGGGTGGTGGGGTGGAGGACCTTGGTTGCCGTCTGAACCAATCGAAGTCATCGCCACGTGAGGCCTGCGCCAACCAACGGGTGTGTACGATCATCGTGGGCAGCCCCGACTAACTGCCCGCCAGCTCGCTCCTCCGCCAGCTCACCCGCCAGCTCACCCACCAGCTCACCCGCCAACTCACACGCCACAACCTCCAGCCGCCGTTCCGTGGCATCGCTCGCCCTCTCGCACACACGACCCCCGCAACTCAGGCAGGAGGCGATACAATGCCACTCTTTAAAAAAAAAAACAAAAAAGGAACGAAACAAAGAGGTATTTTTGTTGTTGTTGTTGTTGTTTAATGGCCGGTGGTTTGCATGGGACCAGTGGCTGACAGGGTCAACCGACGCGAGGGGTCGGATAGTCTTTGAAAACGGGAAGAGAGAAAGAAAAAAAACTAGAACTTGCCCCGCTTGCCCGAGGTGCGCGCCGCAGCAGACTGTGCAGGCGCCCGCCGGCGGGGCTTCCCGAAGCTTTGTGCCGGTATCGCCAACCCTCACCGTGTCCTCTCGATTTTGACCAATGAATTGAATCTGTCTTTTTTTTTTCTCCCTTTGCACATTCCTTTTTGCAGGCTTTAAAAAGAAAAATAACAAAAAACGGGAACAGCTTACACTACCTGTGACGTAGTGAGGTTTTTTTTTTGTCTTATCTGTTTAATCTCTGTTACGAATGGTATACGGTATATATATTTATATGATTGGAGGCCCTACATTGACTCTTTGACAGGCACTCTGTGTAAGTGTATGTGACTTGTAAACTAATTTAAAATGCAGGAGGGAAGAGTGGCTATACAGCAGAAATAATGATCATGGTAAAGACGCACACACGTCTACGTGAGCCTACTACCCGTGTACTGTACACGAGTGTACAGGAGCGTTTGTCCCCCTGGTGAATGTGCACGTAGAGTGAACTCGGGCCATGCTATTCCCTTGCAAAGTATCTCCCCTATCCGCCGCGCGCACGCACGCACGCGTGTGCAAACACTCAACGGCCAACACCAATGTCGAATATTTGAAGCGGTCCTCGGCCTCCCGCAGTTCGACTCTGCCTCAAATGAGTACCCAGTACAACGCGTAAACATCGTACTAGAGAGACATAGGTGGCCAAACGTGGTGCTGGCCACCGACCCCCCCACCTCGTGTGCTGTGCCCGCCTTTATAGATGCTTGCTAACAGCACTTGTCCCAACAATCTGGGGGGAGGGGGGGGGGATATTTGTCTTTGCACACAGATGAATGTGGAGTGGTTCACTCGCTGCGGCATGACTCCGGCCACCTAGCTTCCATTTCCCTGGCCTTGCACAATGCCTGTTGCAATTGGAATCTTAAGCCTGACCTGGGGGGGCCTCCCTTCGATTAACTTTTGCTGGTGCTGTGCAATCGAACATCGGCACCTGGCAGACAAAGGGGGTGGCCGAGTTAGTGGTGCTGCCCGCACCACCACCACCACCTTAATTGCAGCGTTGGCCCTGATAGATGCTCGCCGAAAAAAAGCACTTGCCACCAACATTCGCTTTGGCCAAATGGCTTTTGTACATGAATCATAAATGCCACTTTATAAAGGTTTTAATTGGTTATTATTATGAAATTGCACAGCACTGAAAAATTGTGTGTGTGTGTGTAGATATATAGACGCATGCCCAAACATATAAATATAACAATTATATGCAAAATTATTTCTATAATATACGCTTTGCGAGCAGATGGCTCGAGGTGACGTCTACAAACTCTTGAACACATGCTGTACGTCTATGAATATATGTATGCAGGTATACATATATTTATACGTGTGCATTGTAACATGCGTGGCGGGCACAAGGCATTTTGGTGCAAGTGTGGCCCCGGCTCCCGAGGAACGAAGGCCGTCCCACGGGACATGCAGCGGCTGATGTCATAACGAGACACTCGAGGACCCCCCCGACCCTTTCTCGTCCTCCGCTCGCTCGGTCGCTTCCTCACAATTGGGGGGGGCGTAAAATAATTGACTGAAAAAAAAATTCAGTGAACATTGTGATGTAAAAAGTATATATGTAGGATACTCTCACTCTTTGCGAATGGTAATTTCAAAGACGTTTTGAATTTCTACAAAACAAAAGGTGAAATATTCCTAATGTTTGTCCACAGGACTCTAAAGAACAGATGTTCACTGGTTAAATTGAAATGTGTACAAAAAAAATGTTTGTTGAGAAATGTTTTCCTAAATAGGGGAACGATGTTTCGGTTACAGTTAAAACTGTGTCGTATTCAACATCAGCACTGGCGTGGAGCTTCCCTCCGGCTCTCGCCGAGAATCCGGCACGGGGGGTGGTGGCGACCACCGCCCCCCCCCCCCGCTTGCCAACGCCAAAATTGGCGCCTACCATGATCATTATTTTCTGTGGCGAAAGTGACGAAAAACCTGTTATAGTTTGCAGTTCATTTTTTATCAATGTCCTAATGTCTGTATAGTCACTTAGAGGAAGAAGCTTTGAAAAGAAAAAAACTATTATTAATAACAACAATTATCAACTGTTGACCAAAATGCCTGTGGATCAAAGCAGTGATTGCAGGTTCATGATAAGGATGTAAAAATTGCGAAGGATAATAACGAAGGTGTATATTTTAGCATGCTTTTCCTCGTTTGTACGTACCTGGTTTTTTGCGCGCGTATTAGCTTTGTTCTGTGTCTGTTTTTTGGTAGCGGTGACAGCCGGCGCGGTGTCTGTGGTGTTGTCTTGACAGTAGCATGGTTCTTGCACAGCACTTAAGTTGGATAGCTGCTTAGTAATGCAGTACGTTTTGTTGGCGTATAACGTTATGGGTCCTCTGCTCTCTCTCTCTCTGTCTGTCTCTGTCTATCTCACTCACCCTCAACACTCTCCTATAATTTTACATTTTTTTTGTTCAATAATTATTCTTAATGATGTTTTTTTGTTTTTGTTTTCTATTAAGTTCCCCCTTTCTCCCCCTTCCCCTTTATTCCAAAGCCCACACCTGACCTGTCGCGAGCAAACCAGGCTGCTTTAAACCCTTTCCAAACGATACAACACTTACCTTTCCGAACGGCGGGGGAGGAGAGTCACCGGCTGTGTGCACCGAGCGCGTGAGGTGTGCGTGTGTCGTGCGTGTCGTGTCGTGCGTTCGTGTTGTTATCCGTGCGTTGTTCGTGCGCGTGTGGGAACGGGTTCCGCCGTTCTTCCCAGCGAGGCAATGCAGTCGTACCCCCCCCCCCGCCGCCGCCCCCACAAACTCTGGAGCTAGCCCGCCCGCCCGCCCGCCCGCCACCGCCGCCACGGGCTGGTGTGGCCGGAACCTCCGAAGCCAAGCGCGCTCCTCACTGCCAAATCTTGGCGCTTGCGGGCGGGACCCCCCCCCCCCTTTAACGCAGAGTTTGCGTTATCGACGCATATTTTTTTTTATCCGCCGATTTCGCGTGGCGGGTTTTTACTCCGCGCCTTGGGCTGGGGCGGGGGTATTGGGTCGTGACGCCGTCATTGAGGTAGCAGACCGCTACCGACGTTTGCTTTAAAGAGAGAGAGAGAGAAAAAAAACCTAAAAAATAATTTAAAAACAAGAATGAACCAAAACTCTTCGTTGGAGGGCATTATACAAACAGGGTGTGATGAGGTATTTTAGAAGAAGAGAGAAAAATATTGAGAGTCATATTTTGTAATAAAATGTCAGCTTTAACTCTGGCAGCTAAATTCAGCTGCACAGTTGTCCGGCTGTTTACAGGAATAACTTTAAGGAGTTCGTTTTGGTTTGCGTTTCATTGTCACTTTTTCATTTTAGCCATTGCCGTCAAAGAACTTACGAGAAAGATAGGCTGTTATACCGATAAGCTTTTTTTTTAAAACAAAATGAAAACAAACTCTACCTCAGATCTTAAGCTTTCATGTCTTAAATGTGTGCAGCGGAGAGCAGTCTACACGATTATATTAGCTTTCATTTTTTGTGTTGTTGTCTTCGAATGCCTGCCGCTCAGAACGCACGACCTCGCAAGCGGTCGCTCTGTCCTCACGTGCCGCTGCCAGTGGATGTACAAGGTGTTGCCCTGACACTAAAGAGGCCTTGAACTTTTTGGCGTTTTGAGTATTGTGTGTTTTAAATGTAACCGTGTCACAAGCAATATAGACACCAGACGTTACAGAATGTTGAATCGGATTCCGTTAAATCGTACAAAAAAAAAGGTATGTAGCGATATCAGTCGTATTAAGGAGCAAACGAGTCACGGACCATAGAATAACAATTAAATTTAACCTGCCATATTGTAAATTGATAACGTGTATATAATGTCACAGGTAGGGAAACACATCTCATGTTGTTTTTAACCGCCTTAGTTACAGTTGTTAGTTTGTAATTAGAAACAATTTAACTCAAACGTGTTCCCAAGCCGAAGGGGGGGGGGGACAGACTGCTTGCATTGCATCGCTGGGTTCGGTGTGGATTGTGTTGAGCGTGGAATTGTCTCTCGTGTGGTGCCGAG